AAAACGTGTGTGTGTGTGTGTGTGTATGTGTATGTATGTATGTATGCATGTATGTATATATATATATATATATATGTTTATATATTTGTTTATTTATCTACACCCTACATTCATGGGGAATCATAGCCAAAGAAAGGGGGCAGCAATAATTAGATAGGGTTTTGGGCTGTATCATAGTCTAATAGGCAACACGGAGGACTACCATTGATAACTAATCCCACACCCTTCTTACACTCCCAAATGTGAAGCTGCACTGCCACTCTCGTCGATCGCAAGACAAGTACCTAAGTATTGGGTTCTGCGGGCCCTTTGGGTAAGGTTTAGGACTGTAGGGTTTGGGCTAAGTCGGGGGTCTGGGACGCAGATCATAAACAGGCTGTCACCACGCCTTTGTTTGCGAAACCCTAAACCCTAAACCCTAAACCCTAGGTGCTCTTGAACTCCGTGGCCTCCGGGCGTAGTGAGACTGAGGGTTCAGGGCTTGGGGTTTTGGACAGTGGGTTTAGATTTTGGGGAGGCCTCAGGATATTAATGTAGGGGTTTAGGGTTTAGGGTTTAGGGTTTAGGGTCTCAATGATTAGAATAGGGTGTTGGGGTATATTGTACTGGAGTTATAATAATTAGGAGCCCCCCAACATGGTATAGGTAACTGGTCAGGCCCCTATATTGAGCAAGGGTGCTGTGTGCGGGATACAGCTTGAACTCAAGTCGCCCCTTGTGGGTTCTCACGCGAGTGGTACGTACCCTGAGGGGAGGCCTCATGGCCCCTAACAGTGGCCCCTTGCGGTCTAATCTTGGGTCCCCGGATTCCCTTCTGCTTCCTGTGTAGGGTTTAGGGGCTTAGGGTTCAGGGTCTAGGGCTTAGGCGAAGAAAATCACCTCAGGGCACTGGACCCAACCTGATGCATTACGATAGAAAGCCGTAGGTTCGTGGATGATGAACACGTTCTTGGGCCTTGGGCCTTCGCATGGCCCGGTCAAAGGCCCTCGGGGCTTTGCTACCGCTACGGCAGCTGCAAGATGTTGGGAACATCAACATCCCTGACAACCCTAAACCCCTAACCCCTAAACCCTAAACCCTAATTAAACCCCAAACCCTGAAAACCCAAGCCCTAACCCGCAGCCCCTGAAGCCGAAACCCAAAGCCCTAAAGCCAGAACACCAAACCCAAAACCTTTTGGGGGTGGGGGGTTTAGGGTTTAGCGTTTAGGGTTTATGGTTTAGGGTTTAGGGTTTAGGGGGGGTATGTTATACTATATAGCTTAATGTCGGGCTCCATCAGCTGCAACAGGGTGTCGGGACATATGATAGTAACATAAGGAAGGAAGCCACCCTAAACCCTAAACCCCAAACCCTAAACCTAAACCCTAAAGGAAGCCTCAGGCCCTTATATTCGGACTCTAGACCCGAATCTTGAGGCTCCAGGCCAAATCTACAAATCCTAAACCCCAAACCCCTAAACCCTAAACCCTAAACCCTAAACCCCTGAACCCGAAACCCTGAACCCCAAACCCCTGAAC